TTCCAAACAAAGTGAAAGAGCCGTAACTGGTGTTATACGGTGTTCTGCCTTGGTTTCTCCGTGGCTTTTCGAAGTTACGGTTGAGACGACCCAATATTTTCTCGGAAAAACAAAGAAAATGACTCAAGATACTTATGCACATGATAAAGGATGTCTTGAAAGTCCCAAAAATATCAATAACTACTTTTCAACAAAAATCGAAGTTACAGTCTTTTGCCTTTGCACGGCAGAATAGATATCACATGGGATGTCAAAAGTATACTCAATACACTGATTCTGTTTAGTATAAAACATAAATATATTAGACAGTTATATTAATCAAACAACAACATTGACATGAAAAAAAAAAAAATGACTGACTTCTCTGAATTGATTTTTTATCTTTATTACCAGCTCATTACTTAAACAATTATTTGATTTAACGGAGATGATTTAACTGAGAAATAATTGAAGGCTAACTTTTTAAATGTTTTTATCTTGTTACTTTAATTATTAAACAAAGTTATATTTTTTTATAGCATACACATTTTTACTGTGGTATCAAAATTGGTATTTAGTATTGTGAAATTTCTGACCGAATGGTACCGACTACTGAAATGTTGGCATTCTGACTAGATATCATGATATTACTGTAAGTTCTAACATGTCATCACAACGTGTAAATAAATATCTTATATGAGCACATACAAGTTTTTAGTTTTACTGAGCAGATTCCAGTAATGCACTTCGGCTGTGATGATGATTTGTACTTGATAGAGCTTCTGGTGTTAAGATAGACAGACGGCTTAACTGTGTTGTTTCCTGTTCGTTTCTGCTGTGCAATGGCAGACTGATGGAGGAGGTAGTCCCAACCCTGGGGTGTCCGGTAAGGCAGCCTCCCTGCTTCCTTCCCTCCCTCCCTCCCTCTCTCTCTCTCTCTTACAGTCATGTCTTCCTTCATGACTGGGGTATTTCTGTTGCTGGATTTGTCCTGCTGCCTCGCCTATAGTCTCTGTATTTCTCAGCATGTTTTGTTGTGGTAAAAAACTAAATGCATACACAATAGTCTGGGAATGCACATGACAATATCAATGTAGATCCCATATGTGTATGTAAAGCTTTACCATGCCTGTTATGTAAGAGTGAAATGATGTGGCTTTTGTTTGAAGTTTGACAGTGTTTTAAATTCAGGATGGAGCACCTCATGATCTCATTTGCATTGCCATTTGACTCCAGTCTCATGTCATCCAGCTTTAATTGCACATCTGATAGATGTATTTCATCAGCTCTTTAATTGCCATCTTTTTCATCATGTTTTAATAATTCTGACAGAAGGAAGAGCAAGAGATGCAGAACGTGTCATTATAGAGTTAGTGAGGGATGGAGTGTTTCTGTGAATGGCAGATCTTCATTAACTGCAAACTCATGAGCTGTTACTGTAGTTACTGAAGGAGGCAGCACTGATTAGTTCTGCTTAAAGATCCTGATATTACATTTGTCATCACAGTACCAAAATTGTTCAAATCAAACATTATAATTTATTGATATTAACATAAACTGCATATGCACAATGTTTTTTGTTTTGAAAAGAAAAACTTACCAAACTCCAAACTTTTGAATGGTAGTGCAGTTACATGCAGGTATTTGTTTTTCCCTGCTGTCCACAACCACATTTTTTATTTTCTTTGTCACTGTGCAGAGGTACCTTGAAAACTGTTGTTTTAACTTTAGTGAAAATCATGTAAAGACTGAAGAATAAAATACATTAGGTTGATTTATTCCTTTGTTGTGTCACTGCTTGTTCTTCATTTAACCATATAAACTTCTGTTTATTTTTCAGGAAGTCGAAGCAGTAGTTCCAACCCTAGTGTTGGGAGGAGCCAGCGGCCTGTGCCTAGGGACAAGGACCGCAAATCAGCAGGCAGTGGCGGCAGCGAATCGGATTCAGGCAACCGAGCAGGTGGGAGGCGGGTTGAGCGTTCATCCAGCCAGTTGAGCCACCGTAGCCATGCGCTGTCAACTCGCAGCCACACTCATTCCCGCGTCCTGTCCCAACACAGCCGCACCTCCTTCTCCTACAGCCACGCTCCCTTTTCCAAGTATGGCCACACCTCTTGTGCGCTCAGTGAACGAAGCCACGCTTCCTCTTACGGACCCCCAGGCTTGCCTCCTCCCTACAGTCTGGCCAGATTGACCCCTAAGGGGGCTATCAGCAGTGGGCCCCCAGGGGCCCCTCCAGTGAGGGAAATAGGGGCCATACCACCGGAACTCACCGCCAGTCGCCAGTCTTTCCAGCATGCCATGGGCAACCCTTGTGAGTTTTTTGTGGATATAATGTAATCTGATGAACAAATAATAAATAGCAGTACAATAAAAATCTCACAAGGTGAGTCCCATAAATACATTATCAACTTTTACCAACAGCAAATGTGGCTGTGCTGTAGTCACAAGTTCCTGTGGACGGTTGAGGATCAGATGTGTTAAGATAATCATGTGTTGAGCAGAGGGCAAATACCTACAATACACTACTGTTCAAAAGTTTGGCATCGGTAAGAAAGAAGTCTCTTATGCTCACCAAGGCTGCATTCATTTTGTCAAAAATACAGTAAAAACAGTAATATTGCGAAATATTATTGCAATTTAAAATAACTGTTTTCTATTTGAATATATTTTAAAATATAATTTATTTCCATCTTAAATCATGATTATGATTATTAAATCATTTTAATAAGCTGATTTACATTTCTTATTATGAATGTTGAAAATAGTTGTGCTGCTTAATATATTTGTGGAAACTGGCACTTTTTTCAGAATTCTTTGATTAATGTAAAATTCTATATATATATATACAGTATACATGTGCATCTCAATAAATTAGAATGTTGTGGAAAAGTTAATTTATTTCAGTAATTCAACTCAAATTGTGAAACTCGTGTATTAAATCAATTCAATGCACACAGACTTGAAGTAGTTTAAGTCTCTAATTTATTGAGATACACCTGTATATATAATATATTGAATTTGAAATATTGAAATATTTAATAGATCAAAAGTGACAGTAATGTTACAAGATATTTCTGATTTCAAGATATTTTATTTTGAAATAGAAATATCTTGTAACATTACTGTCACCTTTTACTGACAGATTTGCACTGTTTGTTTAAGTGCATCAAGTGGAGTGCAAACGGTAAAAGGTCTTGAGACAGGTGTGACACGCTCTCTATTATGGATTAAAAGTGTAAGTGAGTGTAAACGGTGAGAGATGCTGAGACAGGTGAAAGCGTTTGGTTAATAGATAGTATTGACCTAATGTGCGTACCGTTGTGGCTCCCGCTGTTAGCAGGGGATAATCGCTACATTTGGGGTAAAAAAAGACATAATTAACACCAAATGTTTAAACAGTAGTGTACATCCAAAAGTATGGCAAAAGGGGATATAAAGTATTTTATTGTTTATTTCCGTGACATAAAAAAAAAAAAAAACGAGGTCAAACAAAGTTTATATTACTATTTGGATTCAGAGCAGCTTTTTAGAGCAGTATTAACCATTTTAGCTAGCAATAAAATTGCACACCAGCAGCCACATTTTTAATCCTAGATTAACAAAAGGTAAAGACAATCAGACAATTCCCTCTGCTGGTCAGGAGCTGTTAGTCCTTTCCAAAGCTATCCATAAACAGACTAGGCTACTGATCATCTTTAAGATCCAGCAACAGTCAAAAAGTATTTTCTTTTTGTGTTTGTTCCTGTTAACAGTCTTTATATTGTAGTTTCATTTCGATAGTGCACATGAATACTTGTGCACTACAAGCTGTCTGGGCAGTTGGTGGAGATGGGTGGAATGAATCCTTTTTAGACACGTTTCCAATTATTACCAGGTTGGAAACATGGTAGCATGTCACTGTTGGCTCCCTTGGCTATGAAGCACTAGCTAGAATAATGTATTTTCAGGAAATAAAAAAGCTGCTGGATATCAGGGTAAACTCAAAAACCAGCACTTACAGTGTGTATGCACAAAATAAATTGGCACTTACTGAACGGCTGAAATTAGTTGTATTTTCTTAAATAAGAAGTTCTTAAATACTGTCGTTAAGTCCTACAGTTTTGTTTTGTTTTGCCCCTGGGATAATGTGTCAGTTGTATGATGTGATATCTGGTGCTGGTAACCTGTTCATCAAAGTGTCTCGAAGAGAAAACGTTTGCTCAAAAAACTTGTTTAAAGTAACTAAATGAAGGGGACTGGTTAGCATATGGACTGTGTACTACTGTATATGTAGTATTTAACTATTTGAAGGCTGACAAATTGGCACTTTTACAAAGTCTGATCTGCCCTTTTATTGTGAATCTACATCTTCAGATGTGTTGTCTATTTTTCTCTCTTGGAAATCCTGTACATAGTTCATTTTTATTGTATATATGAAAATAGATAATTGTATAAAGTAAATGTACAGAGCTTCTGGTCATGCCTTTTTGTAATGTATGATGTAAATTGGACTTGTGTGTTTGTGAGTTTAAAGCAG